CTCGAAAAACGGCGCCAAAATTTGATCACGCCCAACTATGCCTTATAAAAGGACTAAGCGGTCGTTGCAAATATAATCCGTTTTACAAGTCTGGAGTCGAATCCCACATGGAATCAACGTAGTAATAATAACTTTTAGTTTTGCAAGAATCCAAGTAATCAACTTTCAAAAATATTGAATAATGAATTGAGTGTTTACTAACTAATAACAAGGTAATTAAAAAGCTGTAATTTTACTACTAACAAAGCAACTATTATAAACAAGATTGGAAAGGTCTAGGGTTGCGATTTCTCCTCTTGTCGGAATCCTCTCTGTTACGTTCACTATAAATTCGCCTAGATACTCTCTACCCATCAGAGCACTTTAGGTGTCATAATTCTCTTCCGAGCAGATACAACAATTTACTAAACGTATTCTTTCAAACTATACTAGCTAGCATTAGCTTACCGCTCACTAAGATCGCACCAAGGTTTTGTTATTTCTAATCCCACCTTTAAACCCTTCGCATTGATCCCTCATATACGTTAGGAGTGGTATTGTTCAACGACTACCTAAATATGTACCCTTTTCCAAGTAATACACACTAAATAGGCATAGCCGATTGAGGGCCCTTCAATCAACCACAATAATCACGTAGTTGAACAAGTAGAGAAAATTCAATGGCAAATTTATATTAAACGCAACAAAAATTCATCCTCCAAGAGGTTCCATCAAACCCTAGAATAAAGAGTTTAGCTACTCATTATTATTTTCACAATCAGAATATAAGAATTCATTATCAATGATAAAAAGGGGAAGAAGAAAGATAAAAACTCGTTTCCGAATCTTCCGTCTTGCTCCTTGCATGTTCTTGCCTTCTCAGTTCCTCTAAAAACCAAGATACCCTCTTTTTGGGCGAGCTGGGCTTCATATATGTCAAGGAAAGTCGCCTCTGGAATTAAAATTTTAGCCCTGGAATAATTTTTCTCGGAAGGACGTGCAATGGCCGCGCACCTGGACAGGTGACCGCGCATCTGGCCGCGCACTTTGGCCAGTTTCTGCCTGACTTGCACGGCCCAGTACGCGGTCAGTGCGCGGCCGCGCACCTGGCCAATTTTTTGCACTCTTCTTCGTTCTTCTTTTTAAGTGCGCTAATCTCTTCGATCCTCGAACGAACTCCCATTTACTCCATAAATTTTTATTTGGCCTTCAACGTTCCATATTAGCTCAAAACGCTCCTTAACCTCCTTGTAGACCCGAATTGCTCCTACAAAGTATAAAATACTTAATCAGAGCAATTTACTACCATTTAACGCTCAAATATCAGTAAAGTGCAGCCAATTCAGAGTGCAAATAGTGGCCAAAATACATAGTGATAACCTACTATCACTTGAAATAATTTTTAAATAAACCCAAAAACGAAAATTGAGAAAAAAACAATTATTAAATGTAGGAATATTTGAGAAGAGTAAGACTTGTTATTTCAACCATCTCTGCCGACTAGATAATTGTACAAGCTTTTGACATTAATCATCACTTAATGTCAAAAGCTTGTACGACTATATAATTGTCTTCGCTTCTTGTTTTCTTCTTCTATATCAAATCTACCAATAACTCCAATTCCTTTTATTCTACAACATTTCTTGGTCATCAAACTTTTATTAGCCAATAAGTTAATCTTGTTTTATCTTTTTTTTTTTTTTAAATATTCTTGTGTTGGCTCATAAAAGTAAACGAATAAAAACTCAATTTTTTCGAAGTCCCAAATGTCAAATTCCTTTTATTGATTTAATGTAAATATTTAATACGAGTAATTTTTTGTCCCTCGGATTACGTCATATATGGGAGATGAAACCATTTCTTACTTGGCAAATAAAATAATAAGAATCACATTAGTTGAGTGATTCTCAAGTTGTATCTAACTCCAATAAATATTATTTTTCCAATAATTCCGATGAGTTACATTGATACTATATATCTCCAATTAGTACTTTAACTGATTATTTATTTGGAGAATAATAAACCGACGTGGAAGCAGCGCTTCTGAAGCAAACTCATGTGCCAAGTCTCAGTCAGCTCTTTCTCGCGATGTGTTTTTCTTAGTTCTTTTTTAATCAATCAGTTGGAATTTGATGTAAAAAGTACTTTTATATATATATATATATATATATATATATATATATATATATATATATATATATATATATATATATAAGCCATACAAATAAAGGTTGTGGTAGAACGGTAAGCACTCTTTCATACTTAATCAGAGATTTCGGGTTCGAACTATGAATATAGAGTCGTGTTAGATTCTAGCTAACAAGAGAAACACAGAGAAATGAAGAGAAAGAGAAATTCAATCTGTATTGTCTTGGAGAGAGAGTCGTTCAATACAATGTCTTATAGCGCTAATGTGCACTAACAAACTGACAGCACATAGATAGCAGTCAATTAATCCAACTAACTACTTAACTGATATTGTAACTAACTCAAAGACCCCTTATACTTCTATTGTATACATTTTGATACCCTATATCCCAAGACTCCCCCTCAAACTAGAGAGTGGAATGCATTGAACACTCCTAGCTTGGAAAGAAGGGAACAGTGTTGAGCAACACCAAGTCCTTTTGTCATAAAGTCAGCCAACTGAAGCTTTGCTGAAATACGATGAGGTACGAGCAGTCCATTTTTTATTTTCTCCCGGACAAAATGACAATCTATCTCGATGTGTTTTGTTCTCTCATGAAAAATAGGATTTGCTGCAATTTGGAGAGCAGCTTCGCTATCACAATAGAGGTCAACTGGTTGATGCACCGTAACTTCAATTCTTGCAATAATCCAACTAGCCAAATAACCTCAGTTGCTACTGCTGCAAGACTTCTATATTCAGCTTCAGTTGAGCTACAACTCACTGTCTGCTGCTTCTTGGACTTCCAAGATAGTAAGGAGTCTCCCAGTTTTATAACATATCCAGTGATCGACCTATATGTATTTGGACATGCTGCACAATTAGAATCACAGTAGGCAGAGAGATGAGATATAGGACCCCGTTTGAGAAAGATAACTAGTCTAGGTGAGCCTTTGATATATCTGACTGTTTAGGATGTTGCATGAACTGACTTAACACTTGCACAGCAAAGCAAATATTAGGTCGTGTGATGGTCAAATAGAGCAATTTACCTACTAGCCTTTGATAACTTGCTATATCCTTCAATTCTTCATCTCCATTGTGTCCTACATGTTTGTCATACTCTGTGGTAGTTAGTTTATGATTTAGCTCAATAGGAATAGAGGCAAATTTTGCTGCATCTAGCCCCATGGTGGAAATCAACTCTAGTGCATATTTTCTTTAGTTTGTCAACAGACCCTTATCTAACCTTATCACTTCTATACCTAAGAAATATATGAGTTTCCCAAATTCTTGACTTTAAATTTGGTGTGCAATGTATTCTTGGCCTCTTCCACAAGGGACATGTTGCTACCAGTGATTAAGAGATCATCACTAAGATAACAACAATGTCTTGTGTTGTTTGCTTAGTGAATACAGAGTGATCATATGCACTCTGTTGATATCCTGCTCCTACTAATGCATCTGTGAGCTTAATGTTCCATTGTCTTAAAGCCTGTTTCAGGCCATAGAATGATTTCAATAATCTGCAAGCTTTATTCCCCCTGGCTTTGGAAACCCTGTGGCACGACCATGTATACTTCCTCATATAGGTCACCTTGTAGGAATGCATTGTTGACCTTCATTTGGTAGAGGATTCATCCCTTTGAGGCTGTTATGCTAAGGTCAGTTCTCACAGTTACCATTTTGGCAACTAGTGAGAATGTCTCATGATAGTCCAACTCTTCTTGTTGAGTGTATCCTTTTGCTATCAGTCGTGCCTTAAACCTCTCAACCTCTCCATTTGCCTTAAGGACTATATCACCACTGTTAAGACACACACTAATATTGCCTACTCCATTTCTAATGCCATTTCCTATGATAACCTATCTCCTGCATATCATTCTCATCTTAGAATAGTAACTAGTAACTGAGTCAGTTCCCTGTCTCAAGGTCACAATAGCAATCCAAAGATGATAGATTCTCGTTAGATTTGACCTATCAAATCTCGCCTGAAAATCAGCCCACACCTTCTTTGCATTTGATGCATACACGACGCTAGGCATCAATTCATTTGAAAAAGTACTACAAATCCATAAGAGAACAATTGCGATGCACTTCTCCCATTGCTTTGCTAATTTGCCTTTATACATGCTTTTTGCACAGGATTCTCACAAATCCAAGCTTGCTCTTTTCCCCGAGCGCCAATTTCATCGCCCTGCTCCACAGTGCCTTGTTCTCTCGACCTGTGAGCTTGAGCGGAATTAAGACGAGTCATGGAGCATCTGAAGCTTGCAAAAATAGTGGATGATTATTATTTAGTGAACTGACTTCCTTATCCGCCATGGCTGCTAGAAATTGAGCTCGAAATCGAAGAATTCCTTAGCTTTGAACTTTGCCGGAAACCTTGAATCTCGCCGGAAATCGATCGGGATTACAGTCCTTGCGATGCCCGCTCTGATACCATATTAGATTCTAGCTAACAAGAGAAACAGAGAAATGAAGAGGAAGAGAAATTCAACCTGTATTGTCTTGGAGAGAGAGTCGTTCAATACAATGTCTTATAGTGCTAATGTGCACTAACAAACTGACAGCACATAGCTAGCTGTCAACTAACCTAACTAACTACTTAACAGATATGTAACTAACTGGAAGACCACTTATACTTTTATTGTGTATATTTTAATACCCTATATCCCAAGAAGTCGCCTTTGTTAGGGTGCTTTATCCCTAATTCATGAGTGAATTCGAATTTACGCAGATGCAAATACAAATACCGCATCGGATGAAAAATCAAAAAAAAAAAAAAAATACCCTGCCTATGATTGAGTTTTGAGATGTAAGACGGACACGTGACAAACTTGGGCATTTTCTATGTTTACAGATTTTAAAACGTAAGTAGAAGACAATAAAGTGACGACAAAGAAAATACTATTATTTTCAAACCATCTTCATTATAATCTAACTACCAGAACAGTAAAATTTACAAGCCTTCACTCCAAAACCAAATTTATTTACAATACATAAACCTATTCATCACCTAGTATTGAAAAGGTCAAAAATTAAAAAGCAAGGAGAAAGGAAAACATTTCTAAATTTGAAAAAAAAAAAAGAAAAGGAAAAAAAAAATCCAAAAAGTACCGCTAATTTTAACGGAGTAAGTGAAAAAGCCGTTAATTTTACCGCCATATTCCAAAAAATTTCCAACTACTACCATATAAGACTTGACTTTTCGTGCTCTTCTTTCAAACTTCTTCCTTGGGACCCACACTTTAAACAACTGCGTTGATTTCATCGCCTACCCATGATTCCGATCTCCGGCCCGAGGCGAACCTTTTCATTCCTCCTAAACCGGCCGGTTCAGAAACCGGTTCAACACCAACTGGACCTCCGCGTGTTTTCGCTACGCTCACGCTCTTGCTTTTTCTTAGTGGTTTTACCGATCCTTCTACCCTAGAACCCAGTGCTTTCTCCGTACTAGACCTCGCCGGTTTTTTCTGATTCCGGCCAGACCGGAATATCGATAGTAACCGTGAACAGAATCCGGTTTTGCGTTTCTCACCACTGCTTCGTGATCTCTCGAGTGATTTTTCACATTTTTTGGATTGTTTTTCAGATGATCGGCGGCGACTTCGTTTTGATCTTACTCTTCCCATACAGGATACTTTCGGCGACGACGGTTCAGTAACTGAAGCTGATTTCAATGTGGATTCAGACCGCTTCGCCGGGAAAAGTCGTATATTCGCCGGTCTACAAGTTCGGCGTTTCGAATCGACGAAACTAGCCTTCTGAGTCTTCGGTAGTCCAATAATCGAAGCCTTATTTTTCAAAGCCGACGAAAATCTCTGCGAATTCGAATTGGAACCTGGAGTATTTAAGTTCGTCGGATTTGGACCGATACCTTTCGTGGACTCTTTACGTTCCAAAAAAGCGTTCCGATCAAACCAATCGAACTCAGCATCTTTCGAAAGCCAGAATGATTCCGGCGGAAAATCAGGCGGATTTTCTGGTTCCTTCTTATCGGCGTTTAAATCATTTTTCACCGTTTTTTCGCCGGCGCTGTCCGCTAAAGTTTCACATGCAACTTTCCGGTCATATCCCCCGCCGGCACAGGCTGAAACTAGAGTTTCTAAATCTACTTGAGGCATTCTAGAGAGAGAAAGTTGAAGAAATTTGAAGAGAGAGTGAAAATGGCAAATGTGAAAGGAAGAAATCCTAAGGTGATTGAGTAGACGCAAGTAAATATTTATAAATAGAAACTTTGATTTTAATTTAATTTTTTCATATTTACTACTATACTACTTGTTCTCTTCCATTACCGTTTACGGTCCGAATTTAAATATAATTTTTATAATAAAATTTATATATTTAAAAATTACATAAAGTATTATAGGTCATTATAATTATTTAAAAATATTTAAAAAAATATATAAACATTATGAGTATAGAAAAAGTAATTTAATTATTGAAATTCGAACACCGCTCCATAAATTAAAATGAAGGAAATAACGAATAAAGAGTTCTTTTTCTAGAAGGTGACTTTCATTTTTGCCAAAATAAAAGTGAAGGAAAGGAAAGTTCCAAAGTTTTGATGTTACTTTAGAGATATAGTCAATGTTTTTGATTTAACTTTTTTGTACATTGTTTACTACTAAATGAATCTGTGGGGGCAGCGGAATAAGTTTGATTTTTGTTCGAATGAGAGGCAGAATTTTAAGATTGTCTTTAATATGTAGCAAAATGTGAAGATAGTTATAAGATGGCCAATCATTTTTATAATTTAGTGTATTACATATGTTTGTAAATGATTTAAGAGATCTTTAGTTCAAATGTCATTATTCTTAAGCTAATCAAATGTCTTTTGTGTTTGTCATTCGGCAGGACATGGCGCATCTCCAGCTGAGTAAGGACATAACCCTTGATAGAAGGTTGTGAAGGTCGAGAATTAATGTTGAAGGTTAGTAGTAGTAAAACGTACTTTCCTTTCATTCTGATAGTTGTATTACTCTTGTTTTGTTTTCTTGAATTTCTAGTATGAACTGATGTTGCTTCTACTTCGATGAGTTACTATTTTGCTGTTGTTACTATTTCTTTTCCTATAACTTCCTACTATTTTTACATTTCAATTTGCTTTACTGCTATGATTGTGCTTGCCTGAGCCCAATGTCTATTGGAAACAACATCTCTACCTGCACAAGGTAGGGGTAAGGTCTGCGGATACACTACCCCCCTTAGATTCCACTTGTGAGATTACACTTTCTATTATAATCTCACAAGTAGGGTCTGGGGAGGATAGGTATACGTAAACCTTATCCTTAACTTGTGAAGATAAAGAGGTTAGTTCCTATAAACCTTGACTTTCTATACCAAAAAAACAATAATAAAGTAGTCAGGGGCGGATCCAATATAATAACTACGGGTTCTCGTGAACAGAGTAACTTGAGATTCTTTAGGAACTCATAAACATAAAATTCTGGATCCGCCTCTAAAAGTGATGTGTGGGTAGGTGGTGGTGGTGGTGGGGGGGGGTTGATCTATCACGTACTCCCTCCGGTTCACAATAAGCGACCAGTTTCCTTTTAGCACGCCCATTAAGAAAATGCTAAATCCTATACAAAAATACCTAATATGACTAAATTATCCTTAATTAAATATTGGTCACATAGTTATAGTGAGGTGTGAGAAATTTTTTTAGGGATATACACATGAGGATAAAAGAGTAAAAACAAATTGAATTTTTTCTTGATTACCTAACTGAACACTTATTTTGAACCAAAATGAAAAAGTAAACTGGTCACTTATTGTGAACCGGAGGGAGTAGCATTTAGCCGATTGGAGTGTGGCGCCGGTATTTTCTTTTTCTTTATTTGTCCAAAAGTTTCCCTTTTTCTGTTTATTGTTTAAGCATTCAGATCAACCACATATAACTTGTATACAAACAATCATAACATAATAATTCAAAAGACTGGTTGGAGTTGCCATTGCCACCAATCAATAATTAATTATTAATAATTTGTTAGTTTAATTAATTAGATGCAACCCAACTTATAATTTATTAGCTGTACAAATGTGAGATCAACTGATCATTTCTTCCTGTGACATCAACAGATATGCATGACCTCTGTTAGGTATCAAATTTGGTCGTGTTAGATAGTAATTTGAAATGGAATTAGGTATAGGTAGATGTTAATTATTTTATTTTTATTCTAGCCAAAGAATTTAAATAATAAATTTTATTTTACTATAAATTTCATTGTTAAAAACTTAAAACTGAGGTTGTGAACAATAAACCTAATAATTAGGAAAGAAAAGCCTTTTAGAAACTAAAGAATAAGTTGTCATTATAGGGATGACAATTTTTGGCTAACATTAATTATTTTTTTGAAGAATTCTACAAACCTTTTCTCAAAATTATTGTTTTTGGACAGAATATGGCCTACTAAAATCCCCTGGTATTATTGTACTTTTCCTCTTTATTTGAGAGAAAAATAATTCCATTAAAGTTGAGGAAATATTTTTTTTTTCCTTTTGTTATTTTCTTTCTCTCGGAAAATAATTAGAGATTTTTCTATTAGTTGTACATTTTTAATGTCATGTAAGATAAACATCTAATAATTCCGATATCATTTGTAAATTAGAAATAATAATTGAGAATGTGGAGATTTGCCATATTTTCTAGCATGATATTAGTTAAATTCTCACAAGTAGAAGATTAGTCTTAAAAATATGGGAAAGAATAGAACACCAACCAGATTGATTTGGTACGACATTTGGAAAATTAACAGTGATTAGGTGGGTAGAGCTAACTTTAATATTGGAATTAGTTAATTGTCACAACATAAATACATAATTATTTAGTCAAGAGACTTAACTATTTTGCTCCATTAAGTTACAGGTATTTGGTTTAGAAAGTGGACACTCAATTTAAGATTGAAGAAGTCTATAGGGTTTCAGTTATATACACCGATAGTGTAAATTTTTTATTTTTTTTTATATTATTAGTGAATCTTAATTTTTAATTAAATTAACAACAATGATCTTGTGTATTCTCACAAGTGGGGTTTGGGGAGGGTAGGGTGTACGCAGCCTTACCCCTACCCTGGACGGGCAGAGAAGTTGTTTCCGATAGACCCTCAGCTAAAAAAAAGTTGAAAGAAGCACTTATAACAAGTAATAACAATACAAGATATTTAAAAAACTAAAATAGCAAAATAAAAGATGAAAGAAGCATTGATAACAAGTAATACAATACAAGATGTGTAGTAATAGTCATCTAAGAATAAAACAATACCATACTAACATTAATACTACTGAACGAAGGAAGACAAAGGGAAACACTCGACTACCTAATAACCTTATACCTAATTCTCAACCTTCACACCATCCTATCAAGAGTCATGTCCTCGGTTAGCTTAAGTTGTGCCATGTCTCGCTTGATCACCTCTGCTCAAGACTTCTTTGGCCTACCTCTACCCTTCCTCTGACCCCCCAAGGACAACCTCTCACACCTCCTGACTGGGGCATCTGTATTTCTCCTTTTAACATGCCCGAACCATCGAATTCTCGCTCTCGCATCTTATCCTCCACGTAGGCCACTCCCACATTGTCCCTAATAACTTCGTTCCTAATTTTCAATTAAAATTACGTACTATTTTTATCAGATTATCAATTAATGTTTATTAAGAGATTTACTTGTAATTATCTAATGAGTGATCTGATTGTGTTAATATCTTTTTATAGCGTCAAACATAAAACTTAAGCTCTTTGCTATATATTAGAAGTAGTTTTAATTTGTTAGTTGTATTGAGATAATCCAATATAAATTTTCATGGAAGATAATACTGTGTTTAATTGGCTAGACAAGAAAAAATAATCCTTACTACATTAGTTGTCCAGTTCCTCATAAATTCTGTTTCCCCACTTTGTATTATGGTTTAAAATTAAATGGAGCAGACTTTTAAACTATAATTGAACGAAAACAATTTGCATAAAAGGTCAAATATTAATGATCTTTTGCACCGGCTGCCTAACACACACAATTCTCTCAGTTGTTACTTTTGTTTTAAGTAATGGATAGACTTCTTTCAAAAAGTTATGGCCCGATTAAATTTGAATTCGTATCAGGAAATCTAGGGGTGGATTTAGGTCATTTCACGGTATGCGTAAACTCATGATATTTTCATCAGACTAGGTATTTTATGTATATATTTCGTAAAGTTAATCAAATAAATTGGCCTCCATATTCCAAAAATGCTGAATGTTGTACCTGGTTGAATGCTGGGTTATTTATCCAAAGGAATATGGATCGATTCACACTTAGGACTTCTTTTTTTCTCACTTTTTCAGTGGTGCATCCATGTTCTAAAAATTCTAAATCCGCCTATCCCACATTGAAGAATAAAGCACTTTCTGATTTTATACCTAAAGCTCGAACCTAAAATGCTCGTTAAGGACAAAAGATTTATCATTATACCACAACTCTTATTGGTCATGCAAATTCCACTTTCATGGTAGCATTGCCATTTCTATTTGCTAAATCTATTAAAAGTTTAATCAGCTCTTAAATAGAGGTACCTCACTTAATTGAAGTAGTCAATGTTTTGGTTGCTTAGGGAATTCTTTTTCTTATTTTCCCAAACATCAAATAATGGAAAATGAAATTTACGTGTCTGTAACGTGTGGGAAAGAAATTTAATTTCTAAATTTTATAAACTAATGTTTGAATAATGATTTTTAGGACGCTGAATTATTTCATAGGGGATCAATTTATGATCTTAGTTAGGCAAATGTGAACAAGAAAGTGTTGAGGAATAATATATTTCATTTAAGTATGATTATGATTTTTTTTTAAAAAAAATTAGATAGAAGAGTTTGCTGGCTCATGGTTTTTCTTTATCAATGAGAAGTTGATTTTGATACTCCTTTCTCTTTTATTCATACTCCAATTCTTCCTCTTCATTTGAAACAATACTTAATAGTCAACATAGATAATGATAGCAAGACCAAAACAAGAAGAAAACAAATAATAAAATACAAATTTATCCTACCTAGTTAGTACTTACCATTATTCTAATATGATAAGTTCAATATTATTCTAATATGATAAGTTCAATACATGTCGAAGAAAAATAAAAATAAAAAGAAAGTTGAAAATTCTACTCTTTGTCATGGCTTACGTCTATTATTCAAAATGTACTTCTTCTTTTTTGTTTCCTATGTG